AAAAAAAAAAAAAGACGATTGTGAAAAGAAAAACTAAGCCAAGCCGCCCGCATCACCAGCCCCCCAAATTCTTTTGGCCTTAAACATGAAACCAGCCAGGGGGAGCATGCGTCAACTACAATCTGGGCATCAATGAGGGATGGGGCAGGATGATGCGAGCAACCCCAGTGAGTGGTCACTTCTGCCTCCACTCGCGCCTTGGTTCCCTTAGGGGCGGGGCTCGGGGAGGGGACCGGTAGGGATGGGCAGAGTGCAAGGGAGCAGTGAGCAGCGGTGGAGAGGCACGGAGAGAACCTGGTGAGAAACGTCTGGCCTGCCTCCTGCCTTAGCCTGGTTGACGCCTGCACGATCCTCTAGACTTTCGGGACCATGTCCTTCGCCTCCCAGGACTTTTTCTCTCGTGGTCCCCTGGGCTTAGCCTCTACCTTGGCAGCGCTCACTCAGAACTGTCATTGTTTGCCCATCTCCTCCAGCCTGTGAGAGCTTTGAGGACAGGGACTGGAAGTAATTCTGGTCTCTGGGTCCGTTGGTGCCCAGCTCAGGTCCGCGGATATGCAATACTTGCTCACTGAAGGCTACCGTGTTGTGAACAAGTCCTTTTTATTTTTATTTTTATTTTTTGACTCAGGGGTCTCACTCTGTCACCCAGGCAGGAATGCAGTTGGTGATCATAGCTCACTGCAGCCTCAACCTCCTGCTCAAGTGATCCTCTGGCCTCAGCCTCCCAAGTAGCAGGGACTACAGGCGTGAGCCCTCAGGCCCAACAGTGTGATCAACTTCTTGCTGTCTGGCACAGCATAAGCCAAACACAGTTCACACAAGATGGCACCTGTGACTTTGGACTCACCACACTGAGCCCTTGTGGCCAACTGGATAGACTTTACATCTGACTTATAACAACTTATATATAATGTCTTTCCTGAACTGTCATCATGATCAGGCTTTGTAGAGGCAGGATCTCTAATTCTCAGGACAATCCTGCTAGTTTGGGGTGCTTATCCTCATTTTATAAAGAGAAAGCTGAGGCTTAGAGTATGTGCAAGGCACTTTTGGTTGAATATGTACCAGGAATAAATCTCAATTCACGAGTTCAGGTATGCAAATATATCAGACACCTGTTATGCCCCATTTCAGAGCATCTTGGTCTCATCTGCTGCTTATTTCACGGCCATTCATCTAATTCCAGCTTCAGCGGGTATAACCTGAATGAGCTTCACACCAAGTCTATGTCTCAGGCTTCTCACCTCCATCAAAGTTTATTTCTTTTCTTTTCCTTCTTTTTTTTTTGCACTGAAGTCTCACTCTGCTGCCCAGGCAGGAGTGTAGTGGCATGTTCATGGTCACCGCACCCTTAACCTGCTGGGCTTCGGTGATCCTTCTGCCTCAGCCTTCCAAGTAGCTGGAACTACAGGTGTGTGCCACCATACCCGGCAAATGTTTTGATTTATTGTAGAGATGAGGTCTTACCAAGTTGCCCAGGCTGGTCTCGAACCCACGGCCTCAGATAATCCACTCTCTGCAGCTTCCCAAAGTGCTGGGATTACAGGCTGAGCCACCGAGCCCGGCTCAAAGCTTATTTCTTGATGCCCCGGGGTTATGGGACTGCTGGAACCACTTAGTGCCCAGTCATGTGCATCCCAGAAGAGTAGGGATAGGGAGTGGTTAATGTCTTATGGGGCGAGTCTTTGACCAGTGAAGTCAACCATTGATGCATACATGTTTCTCCCTTTTCCCTCTCAGATAGATGCCCTTGGACATTTTATATAGCTTTCAAATTGTCTGGCAGCATACGCAACCAAATGCCTTTGGAAGTGGCCAGTTTGAAAATGCATCCTTGACCGGACTCAGTGGTTCAGCTTGTAATCCCGGTACTCTGGGAGGCAGAGGCGAGTGGATTGTCTGAATCCACAGGCTCGAGACCAGCCCGGGCAACTTGGTGAGACCTCGTCTCTACAATAAATCAAAAAATTAGCCGGGTGTGGTAGCGCACGCCTGTAGTTCCAGCTACTTGGAAGACTGAGGCAGAAGGATCGCTGGAGCCCAGCAGGTCGAGGCTGCGGTGGCCAGGAGGCAGGCGTGGTAGCGTGCGTCTGCAGTTCTGGTTACTTGGAAGGCTGAGGCGGAAGAATTGCTGGAGCCCAGCAGGTTGATGCTGGGGTGGCCGTGAGCATACCACTGCACTTCAACCTGGGCAACAGAATGAGACTCCAGCTCAAAAAAAAGAAAAGAAAAGAAAATGCATCCTTGCAATGGCCCTCCTTCCTACCCTGATTTACAACTCCTGTCCTTCACTCCTGATCCTTAGACTCACACTTGCAAATAAACTACTCATATGAGAAATGCACACGAAGGCATGTTGGCACAAGGAGTGGCCCCAGGAAACAGAACCTCAGGTTGGTATTTTGAAACAGGACTGCTCATCTGTCAGATGGCACCAACAACCCCAACGCTGGTGATAGGGGAGGGGGACGGGAGGTGGCGGTGGTGTGACGGCACCTGAAATAGTGGCATTGCGGTTACTAAGGTATCTGTCTGTGATTGATTGGGAAGAGGTGCAGGTAGAAGACAAGGTATTGGGTCAGTGACTGTGGCACTGGAACAGTAAGAAGACAGTGGTAATTATAAGGGCTGTGGAATGGACTGGCTTTTCTTTTTTTTTTTTTTGAGTTGGAGTCTCACTTGGTCGCCCAGACTGGAGTGCAGTGGCTGCTCCTGGCCACTGCAGCCTCGACCTGCTGGGCTCCGGCGATCCTTCCGCTTCAGCCTTCCAAGTAGCTGGAATTACAGGCATGCACTATCACGCCCGGCTGATTTTTTGATTTATTGTAGAGATGAGGTCTCGCTGCCCAGGCGGGTCTCAAACCCGCGGGCTCAGGCAATCCACTCACCTCAGCCTCCCAAAGGCACAGGATTACAGGCTGAGCCACCGAACCCGGCTGGACTGGCTTTTCTTAACTTTATTGGAAACCTTGAAAACATAATGATAGGGTTAGAACAGCCAGCTGTCAATTTGAGGCACTTTGTGAAAGCCAAAGAGTCACTATGGCAGCTTTGAAGAAAATTCTTATTCTTCTGAAGTCTTGAGAAAGACTGGGCTGAAAATCAGGCCCATGATCTCGTTGTAAGGGTGGCCAAGTTTCAAAGAAGACTGAACACACAGCCTCTTTGGGTCTCTTCCATCAAAGTTGGGGCACTGACAGAAAACGAGTGGGAACCTGAGAACTAGGATGAGGATATTTGAGTGAAAAAGCCTGAGACTTGACCATCCCCTGCTTCTAGATTCCCTTGACTCATCCACAGTGGCAGAAGTAGTCCCTTCCCTTTTGTTAAAAACAGCAAACTCCTATTGCTTAGAAATCTTGTCATGATGACCTGCACAACATTGCTTCAGACTAAGCAACCAATTTAGCTGTAAAGAACATGCAACAGGGACACATAACCTTGGGCTCCACTGGTCTTACTGTGTAACTCAGTCATCCAGAACTAGATGGCCTAATAGGATGATCGGCTCCAGCTAAGGCTCCATCTTGGGGGAAAAGCTCAGAGCATTGGGGCATTGTCTTCCAACATGTAGCACATGCATGAAATCAATGGTTTATTTATTTATTTGTTTATTTTGAATCAGAATCTCACTCTGTTGCCCAGGCTGGAGTGCAGTGGCACGCTCACAGCTGCCGCAGCCTCCGCCTGCTGGGCTCAGGTGATCCTTCCACCTCCGCCTTCCAAGTAGCTGGAACTGTGGGCATGCACCATTGTACCCGGCTACTTTTTTTGATTTATTGTAGAAATGAGGTCTCGCCAAGTTGCCCAGACTGGTCTCGAACCCGTGGGTTCAGACAATCCTCTCACCTCTGCCTCCCAAAGTGCTGGGATTATAGGCATGAGCCACTATGCCTGGCCTTGGGATAGCACCTCTTACTGTCTCTTCCTGTGAAGCCCACTTGTGGAATTTGTACTGCCTGCCTCACAAGGTTAAATTCTGCTTGGTCAGAGATCCTGGTTCCTGTGGTGGTGAGGGAAGAAGAGAGAGAACAACTTCTACTCCACTAGCAGGTCCTCTGAATTAGAAGCTGTAACCACCACCTAAGCATTTGGGACTCCTTATGCCAGTTTACCAGCAGACAAAAAAAGGAATGCTGGGAGAATCAACCTCGACCACTCTGAGAAGCTAGGGGGAATTACTTCTGGTATGGGGATTCACTGGGCATGTCTTGGGACTTCTGCATCCACTGGTAATAGTCGGTGGGCAGTTACAGCAACGACAGCCTGACAAGGGCATCTAAGGGCTCGATGGCTCAGGGGTGAAGATCCACATCAACCCCAAGTGCCAGCTGAGGGCGAGGGAAATCCGGGACAGC